AAGCTTAACACAAACATACTACCATAGTTTAACTTGGCCAAGCCATCAAGATTGGAGTATACCCAAGTGATTGGCTATGATCAGATGATGGTGATGTAAATGTGGTGGATGCTAGCGATGCTCAAATCAATCTAAATATTACATCATGAATTTCGATGTCAGGGGCGTCACAGTATTGACGTTGAAATCTCATTGATCGAAATATTTATAAAAATTTTGATGAACGAAAATGTCATGAATCTGAACACTCATGACTCGACCGCACGTGTCATGATCATCCAAGCATAGAAAAATAGGACAAATTAATATAGTTGTGGTGAGTTCTTCTTGCCACTTGTTTGGTCTTTTTAAATAATATTGAATGATTGTCCCCCAACAAATAAAAAAAAAATGCTCCCAAGTACTTGTTAAATAATAAAATTATATGCATGTCCCTGTCCCCATTAAATTAATTTTCAAAGAAAATTAAATTCACAAGCTCATGATAAATTTAAATCAGTTTTTTTGGCATGCCATTTCTCATCTGATTATCCACTGCACAAATCTTGAAGCAAGCAAGAAGACTGTGGAATATCAAATATATATATATAGTCTGAGAATAAATTTGTCCTAAATTCATATCTTTGCTCTCTCCTACAAAATATATAAGAAATTTGTCTCGATAGAGTTACGTGAACTGATTGATTTGCGGTTCTATCGATTTTTGGGTCACTTTTTGTCGTTCAACTATTTCGATGTTATTCAGTTTTCTGGGTCGTCTGCCTCTTGGGTTGGTCGACCAATTGATGTTCGAGCTTTGATCAACCAGTCTTTTAGGTTGGTTGGCCTCTGGTTGATGGCCCGACCAGGGTCTTTCCTTGGGATATCTTCATTCATTATAATTGATGACACGTGCCTCACTTGTAGCCGCTCGATCTAGTCAAGGGCATTTGGATTACACAACCACATTTTAAAATCTCGCAAACAAATTACATAATTCTATAATTAAAAATTCTTAAGGACTAATTATTCAAAGTATTTATCCATATAAATTACTTAATGCAAAAAAAATAATAATAAAAGCTAAAAATAATTATGAATATCATTTGGAGCACATAAAATTTGTTGATCAACAAACATGAAATTTTTCAGCAACATTATACAATTAAATATCATTTTAACTCAAGGCATGTTGCTAATAACTGAATTTGAGTTGTTCTTCGCTTGAAGTTTTGATTTTGTCGATTGGATTGTGTCGATTTCGATTATCTCTTATGCATAGAAGAGAATGCGTGTTCTCGAGCTTCGAAAATGTAGAGAGTTTTTTGCGTGGTGTAAATTGTACCGATTTTTATTTTCTTCATAGTGAATTTCTTGGTGCGGTGTGGCTCCGTGGTTTTTTCTCTTACCCAAGCTTTTTCGCGTTAAATCTTGTTTTCTCGATGTTTTCTTGTTTTGTGAGCGAATCTTCCGAGTCGGTTCCGTAATTATAATTTCATCTTCCCTGACAGATATGACGCTAAAGATTTAGGCGATATGATTATTACTAGAAATCACGAGAATGGATTACATGAAATTAATAGTATGATAACAAAACACATAAAGCATGAGATCAACCACAAAGTAATATGGAGAATACAAAGATAAGGAAGATAAATACTAAAACTATACCAAAACATTCTACTTATTAAATCTTATCATTCTCTTAAACTATAGTCTTGGATGTATTTATTCTACATGGACATCTCACAATTCTTATGTATTTATATATATAACACCGAAAATTTGATATTTATACTTATAACACTTTGATGTTATAAACCTATGCATGAAAAGTGCATTTAAATTTCATAAAGTTAATAATAGTAGTTTTTAGGTGAGGTTAAAAATTTTAATGGCTTGTATATAAATATAATAGTTTTGGGTGATAGATATGTAAATATATAAGAGTTGTGTGGTATACATGTAAAAACCCCAAATAAAAATTAATTTCTCATGTATGTGAGTTTTAGAATCAAGTATCCAAACAAATTCAGTTCAATAAGGATTTGTATCAAGTGGGACAGAGTCTTTTAAATTTTTCCGTGATGGTGATATAGATGGGGATGCTATTAGTAGAATGAAAGTTGAAGTGGGGGAATGCATCAGGCCCGTTGTGTGATAGAAAAGCACCGTTTAGGAAAATTTTATGAGATGGTGATAGACTTTCAATGCTCCATGGCGCAAAATATTGGCCTTTAAAAGATGAGCATAAAACAAAGTTGAGTGTTGTTGAGATGAGAATGTTTGGGTGGATGAGTGATTTGACAGTTACATACAAATGAGATATGAATATATTTGTGATAGGGTTGGCGTAGCTCTAGTGACGAGCAAGATTAGAGAGAGTCGTCTTAGATGTTTTGGTCATATTAAACTTTGATCATCTGTTGATCTTGTTAGGATAGTAGATGTTCTTATTCCACTTATGTGAAGAGGGGCAGAAGTAGAACTAAAAAGACTTGGACATATTATATATATGTATGGAGAAAAAGGATTCATGTAGTCGACCCCACTTAGTGGAATAAAAACTTGTGGCCGTTGTTTTGAAAAATTACAAAAAAAATTATAAATACTAAAAATGTGGAAACTTCTTTAAAAAAAGAGTTTTGTATTTATCTCTAAAAAAATAATAAAATTACTCCTGCTGTAGTTTTATATACATGTCCTTAGGTATAAATAAATCAATAAATAAAAATAATTAGAATTTTAAGTTAGAATAAATGAGGAATTATTTTTAACAAAGAAATATATTTAAATGTGATTGTATGAATTATTCTTAATTTCAAATTTCATTAAGGAAATTTCTCTCTTCTATTATATATGTGAGTGTTGGGTGCATCTGCATGAACATCAAGACATTCTAACAGGCCAAATAAAAGATAAATGACTAAAAAATGTCAAAAATTGCTCATGTCTATGAAAGAGCACCATAAAGACCTGTAAATCCTCTATTAAAGTGCGGACTATAAAAAGACACAAAAAAGACATGTAATTCCCCTATTAAAACAATACACTAATAAAAATTTAATAATAACATATATATATCCCCCATTAAAGTAGGGGTAAGCATGTAGTTTTAGACTT